TTTTTTTGTTTTGTTTTTGTTTTTGTTTTTTTTTTTGAAACATGACAGTTTCACCTTTATCTTCCTTTTGTAATGAAATATAGGATTTTTTGTGTTTTTCGGCTAGAAAGACATTAAGTTTTTTGGTCCCTTGAATATATATAATTGGCCTATGTTTTACATGGAATTTTTCATGTTTTTAGAACTCCTGTGTTGTTCTCCACCATTGTAGTTGTGCAGAATAGAGACAGACAAGGCATCAACTTTTCTGCTACTGCTAGTGTTTTCAAAAGTGTGCTTCAGCTTGAGCATCCACTGAATTCTATGGCATGATTTGGTCTTCTCTTCTGTTTAAAGGAAAAATTTGCCTTAAAAGATTTATTTTATACTAACCTAGTCAACCTTTAATATCTGAGCATAGTGTTTTGTAAAGAGATGCATGCCTGAAGAGAAAGAACTGCCTAATGGATCATGGCTTTGCTGTTTACAGGACATACCTTATTTCTAGCATTAGTGTTGTTTGCTGTCTCCACTTTTGAAGAATCTGTAAGCAATTTATCTGACTGGGTGAATTTCACAGAAAATATGGATCAATATGAGAAGCAAAATCTGCATAGTTTCAGCGCCAGCCAGAAGCTGAGAAAACCTGTTCTTCATCCAAGCCTGTATTTTGATGCTGAAGATGTACCAGCACTGAGGCAGAAGTCCCGCACAAGTCATTTGCATCTGTTTAGAGTGATTAGAAGTGCAGTGACAGTTATGCTATCCAATCCATCATATTACCTACCTCCACCCAAACATGCCGATTTTGCTGCAAAATGGAATGAGATTTATGGCAACAATCTGCCTCCCTTAGCATTTTACTGTTTGCTGTGCCCAGAAGATAAGGCTGCGTTTGATTTCACTCTAGAGTATATGGACAGAATGGCTGGCTACAAAGACTGGCTGGTTGAGAATGCTCCAGGAGATGAAGTGCCACTTGGCCATTCCTTAACAGGTTTTGCCACTGCTTTTGACTTTCTATATAACTCCCTGGGTAGTGTTAGAAGACAAAAATACCTAGAAAAGATATGGTCTGTGAGTGAGGAAATGTATGAATATTCAAAGGTCCATTCTTGGGGGAAACAACTTCTCCATAACCACCAAGCTACTAATATGCTAGCATTACTCACAGGGACCCTGGTTACTGGGGTGGGCAAAGAATCTCAAGCAAATATTTGGAAACATACTGTGGTTGATGTGATGGAGAAAACTATGTTTCTACTCAATCATATTGTAGATGGCTCTTTGGATGAAGGAGTAGCTTATGGTAGTTATACAGCTAAGTCAATAACCCAATATGTTTTCCTGGCTCAGCGCCATTTTGGTATGAATAACTTAGAGAACAACTGGCTGAAAATGCACTATTGGTTTTATTATGCCACCCTGCTGCCAGGCTTTCAGAGGACTGTGGGTATAGCAGATTCTAATTATAACTGGTTTTATGGCCCTGAAAGCCAACTGGTTTTCTTGGATAAGTTTGTAATGAAGAATGGAGCTGGCAACTGGCTAGCACAGCAGATTAGGAAGCATAGACCCAAGGATGGCCCAATGGTGCCATCTACTGCACAAAGATGGAGCACTCTTCACACTGAATATATATGGTATGCTGCAGAACTAACACCTCAGCCACCTCCTGGCTATGGCACTGCTAAGATGCATGTGTTTCCTAACTGGGGAGTTGTTACTTATGGGGCTGGGCTACCAAACACTCAGACCAACACCTTTGTGTCTTTTAAATCTGGAAAGCTTGGTGGCCGTGCAGTCTATGACATTGTTCATTTTCAACCGTATTCCTGGATTGATGGGTGGAGAAGTTTCAATCCAGGGCATGAACATCCAGATCAGAACTCCTTTACTTTTGCTCCTAATGGACAGGTATTTGTATCAGAGGCTCTCTATGGACCTAAGTTCAGTCATTTGAATAATGTGCTGGTGTTTGCCCCATCACCAACAAGCCAGTGCAATCAGCCTTGGGAGGGACAACTTGGTGAGTGTGGACAATGGCTTAAATGGACTGGTGATGAGGTTGGAGATGCAAGTGGGGAAATTATCACAGCATCCCAGTATGGAGACAAGATGTTTGTGAGTGGTGAGGCAGTATCTTCCTACACTTCTGAAATGAAACTGAAAAGTGTATATCGTGCTCTTCTACTTTTAAATACTCAGACATTGCTAGTAGTAGACCATATTGAAACGGAGGAAGACTCTCCCATCAGCTCTGTCAGTGCCTTCTTTCATAATCTTGATATTGATTTTAAATATATACCTTACAAGTTTAAGAACAAATATAATGGAGCTATGATGGATGTGTGGGATGCTCATTATAAAATGTTTTGGTTTGACCATCATGGGAGTAGCCCTGTCGCAAGGATACAAGAGGCAGAGCAAGCAGCCGAGTTCAAGAAGCGATGGACTCAGTTTGTAAATGTCACCTTTTCTATAAAAAACACTGTAAAAAGGATTGCTTACCTGTTCTATGGACCTTATGTCAATGTTTCTAATTGCAGGTTTATTGATGATTCTAAATCTGGATTTCAGATTTCTCTGAATGTAAACAACACTGAGAATATTGTTTCTGTTGTGACTGACTATCAGAATCTGAGGATGAGGTTCAATTATTTGGGATTTGGTGGCTTTGCCAAGGTGGCTGATGAAAGCAAAGTTATCAAATTTGGTCTAGGCACTGAAGCTGTCGAGAAGCATATAACAAGTGACAGGACAGTTTTCCCATTTGGATTCAAAGTGAATATGATAGCAGGGTTAATTTTGGGTATTAGTTTGGTAATACTGGCTTTCCAGTGGCGGTTTTATATTTCCTTCAGCAAAATGTTGCGTTGGATCCTTTTACTGGTTATCATCCTGTGGCTTATTGAACTGGTGGATGTGTGGAGCACCTGCACTCAGCCTATCTGTGCAAATTGGAATAGTGACACGACAAGTGTGGAACCTGATACCAGCAATAGAGCCAAACAGTCAGAAAGAAACCCTGTTGTTTTGCCAGATGTTGTAATTACTTCACTTCCAGGTTCTGGAGCAGAAATTTTAAAGCAACTTTTTTTCAACAGTAGTGATTTCATATACATCAGAATTCCCACAGGATACCTTGATGTCCCAGAAACTGAATTTGAAATTGACTCATTTGTTGATGCATGTGAATGGAAGGCATCTGATGTCCAACGTGGCCATTTCCATCTCCTGCAAGGTTGGCTCCAGTCTCTAATTCAAGACACCAGACTACACTTACAAAATATTCATTTATATGAAGCCAGCAGAACTAAATTAGCTCAACATTCTACCATAAGCAAAGACAGAAAGAGGAGATCTAGAAAGAGAGAATCTTTGTCAGAACAAAAAAGCAAAATGAGAGGAAACATGGACAAAGATGCTGAATACATCAGGGAACTGAGGCGACACCTTGTTTATTATCCAAATGCACGTCCTGTACTTAGTTTCAACAGTGGGAGCTGGACATTGAAGCTTCCTTTCTTTCAAGAAATAATAGGGCCTTCAATGAGGGCCTTGTATGTAGTAAGGGACCCTCGGGCATGGATCTACTCAATGTTGTACAACAGTAAGCCAAGCCTCTACTCCTTGAAAAATATTCCCCAGCACTTAGCCAAACTGTTTAAAGTAGAAAATGGTAAAGTAAGGTGCAGTTTAAATTCAGGCTACACCTTTGAATATGAATCATTGAGGGAAGAACTCTCAGCCTCTAATTCAAATCCAGTTTCTGTGCTGTCTCATTTGTGGATAGCAAACACAGCAGCAGCACTGAGAGTAAATGGAGATTTGCTGCCAACAAATTATCAGCTGGTCAAGTTTGAAGATATTGTGAATTCTCCCCAGCAGACAGCTGAAACAATTTTTGCTTTTCTCGGTATTCCTCTCTCTCCTGCTAGCTTAAACCAAATATTGTTTGCCACCTCCACCAATCTCTTCTACCTTCCTTATGAAGGAGAAATATCACCGATTAGTATCCATGCTTGGAAACAAAACATGCCTACTGAAGAAATTAGACTGATTGAGGACATCTGTTGTTCCCTAATGGACCACTTAGGATACCCAAAGTTTACAGATTAAATGCTGCAGGCCAGCAGTAATTTGCACTAATGATCCCCAACTCACCAGTTTATTAATAAGATTAGAGAAGTTTGTTTATTCTTGTAAAATGTGTGTACAGTCTGTTACATGCAGAGAGAGATTATTTTAAAAAAAATAGATACTTGTTCTCGCAGGATTTTTTTTTACACTTGTAACTACTTTTGCTGCCTTTCAAATAAAGCTGTGTGAAGCTTAATAAAATTACTAGCTGGGAATGGTATAGCTCAAGGGGGTGGTAATAGGATATGGAACCTTTCACTTCCAGGCTACCAATAGCAACCTTGGGTCAGGTTTGATGATATATTCTGGCTGAATTTCACTCCTTCAGTGGTGCAAACTAACCATAAACTTGGTTAGACTAAGTTTATGGCTGTCCTGCATCACTTTCATTGCAGAAAGGAATCAGCATTCCAATGAAACTAGTTCCTAATCTCTTTATTCGCAGGATTATATGGCAATGAGTTCTTTGCTATAGCTATTCTTTGGAGAAAGAGAAGACTTCAATCTGCAGGCCTATCCATTTGGCACTTTTTGTGAACAGAAAATAAACACTGGGAAAAAATAAAGACACCCCCCCCCCCAAAAAAAAGAAAAGAAAAAAACCCGAAATAAAAAAAGAATCCTTCAAAACCCCATAAATCCAGGAGTAAATTTTCAACTGGGAAGCTTCTAATGGCTTTTATCCAACTCTGGTGCAATTCTAGCCTAATAAATTCTAAATGGATTTGAAAGCTTCTAATATCTGCCCTATTGCTGCTGCTGCCTTATCCAGCTTCTTATCTAAGAGAAGCTTCAAGAACGTCTTTTTTTTCTTCCAAAACTCATCCTTTCTTCATAGTTGGTTGCACTCTCAAGCATCTTCTCTGTTGCTGACCCTTGGGCATAAATTCTCAATTTCCTAATGCCAGTAACAAAACTGTGTGTGCCTCACTGAGTGGAAATAGTGAATATAACCATCAATGGTACATGTTACTGTGGGCGTATCTACACGTGTGCTTTACTGCTAATTAGCTCCACAGTAAAATGTTCCCATCTACGCATGTGCCAGTATTAGGGTGCACTAAATGAATTAACTGCATTGTAAGATAGTACTGTTGGGGACAGTACTGTTTTACAGCAGAGTACTTAACTAGGCTGAAACACGCGTTTAGATGGTGACAGGGGTTGACTGGGGCACAAGGCTGCTAAAGTGCAGGGGATGCCTCACACTAGCCTCATGGCTCTGCAGGTTCTGCACCCTTGTGCCACAGCTAACCCCTCCACTAGCTCATGCTGCCACCCAGACCCTGGGGCTGACCCCCTGAGCCTGCTGCCAGCCCAAGGCTGCTCTGCCTTGGCTTGCAGTGCGGCACGCATAAGCAGCTGACTCCAGCTCAAAACAGCTTGGAGTTTATTGCAACATATTAATTGAATGTGTAGATGCATCCAGTTTGCATAAGTTGGGAGCCTAAATTTTAGAAGAGTCCTAATAAATCTCTAGATCAGGGGTCAGCAACCTATAGCCACAGACTGGACCCAGCCCGACAGGTGACTTTATCTTGCCTGCTGAGCATGTTTATGTGAGAAGGCACCATCAAGTGGCCACCTATTGCCTGAGGAAGACTGAGCTTAATTCACCCTGCTGTTACTGAAAGGTTGCCGCCTCCTGCTCTAGATCTATTTTACTAAGCGATGTGTAATTTTTCTGTAGAGTAAGTATATGAGCAACAGCCTGTGGCTGATCTCAGTTACTCTTTGTTTAAAGTCTTCATTCTTCAAAGAGGCTTTTTCTACATTCTTGGAATGGCACTTACCCTGTACTGTGATGTTTTATCTCAGTAATTTATTTCCAGTATCTGATGATTTTTAAAATAGGATTTTTTTTCTTTAAATGTGTATTACTATGGAAGATTGTTTTAGAAACAAATACCCTTTGTAAGGTGAATATTTGCTTTTGTAATGCCTTTGTCATGCTGCTTTTTTCTCACGCTGCTCTTTTCAAATTTTATTTTACCTTGAACCACGTATTTCTTTTTCAATTTTTTTTAATATGGTTTATAGACATTGAAACTCGCCTCCTTTATCTTCCTTCATCATTCTTTCAAAGTGCATCCATACTGTAAATGTCTGCAGATGTGTAAATCAAACCATAACTGATGTCAGAGACATCTGTTTCATTTACCATCTGGTTTTTCTTACAAATGAAGTTGTCATGAAATATGCTTTATTTTGTTTGTAGAAGCTGGAATCTGAGTTTTGTGCTATCACACTGAAATATGCCAGTAAAGTAATTACCATTTATTTGGGTGACAAGCATTAGGTAATGCCAAGATGTAGTGAGCTTTTCTCTGCATATCTTGATCTTGTCACTGATATTTAATACTATGGCATTCACCTTTGTCTTTCCCCCAGAAAATTCTACATCCTCTGCAATGTTTTTTATCTGTCTCCCTAACCTAGATGAAAGGGGGGGAGTTGTTGTTTTTCTTTTTTTCTCAGCCATTCATTATGATATCAAAATGTGCCTCTAGCATGATAAAGCTGTTGATAATGTTACAGTAACTGTGACTTTGCTGTCACTCTCCTTTGATTGTAACAGGGACTGGCAGTATGTTCCCTGTCATCCCATCTTTTCCAGGTCTTACCTCTGGCTAGGTAGAATGTCACATAAAAATAAATATTAAAATGAGTTAATATACAGTGGCATTTCAGTGAAACTTTGGATCCCAAACATCATTCTCTCAAGCCAGTTTCTCTCTAGGCTTTTATCAGTCATATGTAAAATGGTTACACTGATCCTTTTACTGTTTCCTTTATTTGACAGACTAAGCCTCAGCATTTGCTTTCCATTCTCAGGATTTATGAGCTTGAATAAGAACAAATAAAAAGGCCTCTGTCAGATATTTTAGGGCTGCTCAAGGTAAGAATTAGGAACGACTCTGTTTGGGGAAGGAGTCTCTAAATCCCTTCATGACAGTTATTTATGAGAGGCTGCAAATAGACTATTACCAGCTTTTTGTGGAACTGAAGTGGAAAAGACCATGCATTTATCAATAGGTCAACCCTTTGGCTTTCAAAATACAGGGTTATTTCATGTCTGTAGACCTATACTACATATTACTACTATCTTTTATTCTAGCAAATGTAAGATTCAGAACCTAATACTTCACTGTCTTGCACTTTCTGACATCAGCTTATATATTTCAGATTTGGTAGCATTTTATGTTCCTTTGAATGAATGTCACTGACTCCACAAGGTGCAAGACCATGGAAAACCAGGTCCATTATTCCTAGATATTACTGGGGAGATGGTTAGATGAAAAACATAAAAATAAGGCTAAGTGAAAGGTAAAGAAATGAGTTTGAAAGCAACAGGACCAATGTTTCAGAATTCTAATTACATAAATTATGTGAACTTAAAATAACACAATATATAATGTATTTATTTTAAGCAAACTGAGCACTTTATGCATTTGCTTCAGAATCAATAACAAAGACCCCCTGGATAAGGATTTCTACTCACTGAGAAGAAAAGAACATATGTCTGTTACACAGAGGACTGTGTAGAAGTGCTTTATAATACTAGATTAAGCTCACAAAAGCAAAAAAGAAATTTGAGTTGAAGGGCAGTGTATTGTAATATAGACATAAATTCAACAGTGCACTTAAAAATAAGAATACAGAAACCACTGAGAAGCAGATTTAATTTTTACCCTTTTAGTCCGTATACAATTAAAATAATACAAATGCAGTGCCCCAGAGATCCATGCTAATCCATTCAAGGACTCTTATTCAAGACTGCTTATTCATGTATTCTTCACGCATAGTTTGCTCTCATAGTTCCAGATTGCTCTCATAGATCCTGAAGTCCAGTTGTACAAACAATATCCATTGACTTGAGTAAAAGTTGCATATGTGTAAAAAGGTAATAGGATTAAACTGGAAACAAACTTGTATGTCATACATCTGTGCCATACATTACAGATTCTGGCAACAAGTTGGTAATTTGTATGTTTCCAGTAGCAGCCAGTTTCAAATCTCTAATTACCAATAAACAATAACTCCTTAATACAATTTTTCATGCAGAACTACCTATTTCCATTGAAAAAAGGAGGGTTTTTTTTCCCCTTTGGGGTGTAGAGAACATTTTTTAACAAAAAATAAACCCCACAAAATGGTCCCTGTTGTACCCCCAATTCCCCCCTCGCCTCTCCCCCCTACACCCCTAAATTTTATGGACAAAAATACATTCTTAGTCAACTTGGCCTAGAATTCAAATATGCTTTCAGTGTGTTCTCTGACTCTGAGTCAAATGTTGTTGCCCTTGTAAAACTCTACTGAAGCACATCTGAATTGCATGAGTATAAATGAAAGCAGAATTTAACACACTGTATGTTCAAGTAGTTCAAAATTAAGCCTGAATGCCTTGACCATTGTTTTATCTTCTACTCATTCTATTGTGCCTAGGGACTGATAAGAAGGTGGAAAAATAGTAAGTTACATCAATCTAGTATATTAAGTTGAAGAAATCAATACTTTAAAGTTATCTCTAATTATTTGCTAGTTAGTTATAACTAAAACAAGTTGTGGGAGGTCTGAAATCTGACAATATGGCAATTCTCTGGCTATTTTTAATGAAATAGCTATACTGTTACATTTTGAATGTTTTGTGAATTAAGGCAGCTGGCCCATGTGACTAAGGGTGCATGAGGTAAATAAGCACTTCTTGGAACTTTTCCCAGTTGTGGGAAAAATTAGTGCCCTTGCACTGAAATTGTAGGCTTACATCTTGAATGTATAGAAACCCAAGCAGAATGCTCTGGAAATATGTACTCTGGTTAGGAAAATATTTGATAAGAAATGTACATCTGAGACCCTGTAGAAGAAACTCCTACTGATATGTTAAATATGTTTCATTTACATGTTAAATAGAATGAGGGAGCAGGAAGAAGTAAAACTGGAGACAGTAGGAAACCGGAAATTGGAACCTCTTCTGTGTATGTCAACAGTTTTAATTCAGTTCTAAGTCTGTAATAACCTAAAGTTCTTGTCTTATGGGACCTAATCTTATTTGAATTGCCACTGCAAGCAGTGGGACCAGATGGATGAGGAATGTTAGTGGAATTTAGACACCTGTAGTAGGAAAGAGTTCATGTATTCTATAGTTACAGTGTTCATCATCACAACGGGAAACATATGATCACAATTTGTACACATAGCCCTATGGAAAAAAATTAATGAACTGGTACTCTCTATACCAAAAGGAGATTCAGTCCTTCCATGAAGACTGAGCAGACAATGTCGGCTATCTAAAGAGCTCTAATTGTAGCCCTGCTCACTAATGCTGACATTCGGATGGTCATGGAAACTAAACTGAATGTTCTCAGGTGTCCTTTTCCTTTCTGTCTATTTCATAACTACCCATAATTCCCCACATTCTAAAAAGACCAAATAGTTCAATTTAAAAAAGAACAAAAATGTTTCCATATTTTAAAGAAAATTAGAACCTTGTTTAAATTATTCTTTCAGAAACCCAAGAAAGGTAAACAGCATCTTTAAGGAAGACAATTCAATTATGTACTTACTTTTAGAACAAAATGAAGTATCCTTTCCCCCCC